AACAATTTGTTCGCATATAGGTGAATTGTACATGTTTTTAGGCTTCTGTCCGTGTACAAATGGACATTGTCTACTCTGAAATCTGTCGGCCTTTTTAGTTTAAAAATCGGAAGCGTAACCATTGTGTTATTGCTATATAAGATCAAATAAAATGACGTAAAATCGTAAAATAGCAAGATTCAAAACAGAAATACACATGCAAGAAGATATTGTTCATGATTTGTTCGCATATAGGGAAACACCTTGTAGGTTGAATTTTAAAGTTAAATAACTTTTAACTTACCTGCTTTCTTAAGTTTTCGGCCAAATTCTTTTAAAAACATGATGATTTCAACCTTCCCATTTCGTAAAAAGTCAAATTTTAAGCATTTTCCCTTAGAATTACACAGCATTTTTGTAAATATCCGCCAAAGGAAGTTTTTAAAGATACATTAGTTTTAGATACATGACGGAAAAGGACTGGATTATCCGCAAATCTATAATAAATTATATTTTCAATCTTAAGCTAAGGGAAGTAATTTGATCAAAAGGGACAAAGTCACGTGGTGCAAATGATTTAAATAAAGTACCTTTGATTTTGCCATATGTTATCAGTGTTGTTCGGTCACGAGTTGAATATTTTTCGATATTTGAATTCTTTGATTAGTTATTCTTTTTATTACATTGGCAAAGGGCTTTTTAATGAAATTAAAGTAGAAAATGTTAGGAACTATATCTTTTTCTACGCATTCACAATTTGTTTTGATCCGACGTTATCGACGTCTTGACAACGCCTATTATTGTATGACGTCAGAGGAGTGAAATAACCACGTTTATTTCACATGTGAAATTATCGGTTTTTATTTCACTGGGAAATCAATGTTATTCATTGCAACCAATGTAATAAAACGGTTTAACATACCGACAATTATTTTAAATTACAATGAAACCGTGTAATATTGACGAAAAGTTCCTTTCTGTTAACAAAGTAAGTGTTCATGGTAAAGCCAACTTCCTCCCCTGTTCGAAAGTTGTTGAAACCTACTGAATTAGAATATCAAAGAGATTAATGTTCCATGCTTTAACATACATTTGAATATTTTTAAAATCTGTATCAATCTGATTAGAAATCAGATCTATGGTAACTCGCTTACTCGTCTTATGAGCATAACGAAATTACTAGAGATATTAATTAGATTGAATCTGTATTGTCATGACAGGGTGCTGGTTACCAATGAACTTGCATAAATACAAACTTTACGGTAACTAAGTTACTAGAAGATTATGACTGCAATTTGTTTATGGCATGACATAAGCTGATTCTGTATATTTTTTACCTAGAACTTTTGATTGTATTCAGTGAATGCATGCGTATTTTTAATCAACTTTAAAAGGATGTGGTGTATGAAAGTTTTTTTTGAAAATTGTTAGAGAGAAATCGGAAAAATAAACAGATCTATATTGCAATCGATTATTTATTGTTTGACCTGTTAAATAATATATCGAAAATAAATAGGTTTAATTTAAAACGTAAACATCAATCTCGTGTTTCTTAACATTAATTTTTAATTATGAGAAGACATTTAACTTAGCACGAACATATGGATCGAAGAACGCCTTTAGGTGACAATAAAATATCTAAAATATATATATCTATCTTGTTTATAAAGTATTCGTGCTTTTGTCGCTATAATAGTGTAGCATATCGGTCTGTCGTCTTTGGCATCTGTAGATATAGATACTTTTTTCATAATAACCTTGGTCAATTATAGACACAAACGAATTGTTTTTATTTTTTTTAAAATTGACTTAATTAGATATTATTATTGTGAGATTTTTTATTTTAGTAAATTGCTACAAATTGTTATAAATACATTTTTAACCTTAAACCGAACGTTTCATATACAGAGCATGTCTGATAAATCCAGTATAAATTGTCCAAAAATTTCACCAAGTCTACATACTCCTCACTGCCTAAATATCATCATGACCATATTAGCATAATAAATTAAGTTTTTCTCTTGTAAAAGGATGACAATGATTCATCGCCCCTTACCAACGAATGTTACCATGTACCGTTTCAACTTTGTGGGATACGTCCTATCATAGATATAATAGCCATCTATGGTCCTATATATACGTATACATGTCTATCCATATAGATTAAGCTTAAGTCGCTTCTTCGGTCGTCTCTAATAAAAATTATCTACATAAATTAGGAGATAACTTTATTGTATTTTAAGCTCAGACGGCATCAAATCACCAATTGATGCCGTCGGAGCTTAAAATACAATATTGTTATCTCCATTCTAATGTAATTGGCAGAAAACAACGACAAATCATACAATTAAAATCTGTCATACGTCGTCTGCGCTTGCGCGTACGTTTTTACAATTCATGCCATGAAAATTGTAAACTGGACCCCTGTTGTGTTCACTTATCGATACACTGATTTGTTTCAGAGCTTGATACATATTCTTAATAAAACACTCCGCCTTACTAAAACAGAAAAGGTAATATTCATCATACTTATATTTATATTGCGAGGCACTTGAAATTGATGTTCGTGATTTTTTTAACATATAACTATGTTTTTGATGTATGTAGAAATTACCGTTTATGAAATCGCCTGACTGTTATAAAGGAAAGGCGCTACTCAACTATAGATAAATATAGCCGTCTACGAAATTAGAATAGACAAACGAAAGCCTGTGTTACATATGTATAGGTAGCTGCATGGGTGCAAAGCAATATTTCGCTGGACATAGTGCAGTGGATTTGCTACGATATACAGAAGCAGGGGTTAAAATCCCGCTGAAGTACAAATTTAATATATCGGATCGTCTAACGACGATTCACCACAAGCAGAAAAATATAAAAGTCTTGAGCATGATTTGTGCAACGATACTGATGAAAGCTAGATAAAAAGCTAGAAATATACTAACAAGATGAAATGAAATCGTATTGATATAGATATTTCGATACAACAATATATATATATATATATATGTCATAAGTCTAAAGATTGCGCAACGGTACTAATGTAAAATCGTAATATACTATATGTCTCTGGTCAGTGTCAAAAATTTTAACAATGTATATATATATATCCCGCTGAAGTACAAATTTTATATTGTTATATGTTTTCCTTATCTGCGCTGTATCGTCTATTCTAGACGATCCGATAAATATTATATTTGGTGGTTGGTCCTTTTTTCATAGACTTCTATGTGTGGTCGAGTGGTCTAGCGCGTCGGAGTGCAGGCGATTTGGTGTCACGATATCTCAGTAGCATGAGTTCGAATCCCGGCGAGGGAAGAACAATAAATTTGCGAAAGCAAATTTACAGATATAACATTGTTGGGCTGATGTTTAGACGAGTTGTATATACAGAATGTACACAGCCATGTATTACCATCACTGCTGGTGATCCGATGGATAAATCTGTTGTAGAGTTGTCACTGGTTCAGACGTACTTATAGATATGATTATTTCTGTGACTGTATCTTGCATTAATTTGTAGGATCCTTTACAATAGATATTTCAGCTGATCTGTAACAATTCAGGCCATCTTCATGCCTTATATATCATGTACTGTATTACGGCAATAGATTAAAACTGACGAGGAAAGGTAACACCCGGCCACCGAAAGCTTTATTATAGTGAAGCCTAGGTGGTCGAGTGGTCTAGCGCGTCGGATACAGTGCAGGCGATTTGGTGTCACGATATCTCAGTAGCATGAGTTCGAATCCCGGCGAGGGAAGAAAGCAAATTTACAGATCTAACATTGTTGGGCTGATGTTTAGACGAGTTGTATATACATGTATATATATAAACAAGTCTAAATTGAAAACAACGTTCAAACCTATGATTGCGTTGGATAAAAACCGCAATTTTTATACGTGTGCATGCAAAACAAATTTCTTGGTAGAGGGGTCTAAATACAGCACAAACAACATTTTCCAAAAGACCAAATGAGTGAAAAAGTATATTTTAACAAAACGCATTTGACTAGCAGGTCGAACAACTGATGTTCTTAAACCCTGCTGATATATATATATATATCGGATCAGGTAATGAAAAGGATACTCTATATGTATGTATATATACAAGTCTAAATTGAAAACAACGTTCAAACCTATGATTGCGTTGGATAAAAACCGCAATTTTTATACGTGTGCATGTAAAACAAATTTCTTGGTAGAGGGGTCTAAATACAGCACAAACAACATTTTCCAAAAGACCAAAAAAGTGAAAAGTATATTTTAACAAATCGCATTTGACTAACAGGTCGAACAACTGATGTTCTTAAACCCTGCTGACTGCCATTGACGATTGCCAAATAAATTGATCACGAGATGTAACATGGATCTTAATTATTAATTTAATACCAAACAGAAAACAATAAACTTGAGGAGAAGGTGGTATACCGCAAACATGAGGTGCAAAAATTTGTACACATATCCGGATTTCGACAATTAATGTCTCTTCAGTGATGTTAGGGATCGAAACGGTATTTGGAAGGCCATATAATTTACCTCAATTTCGGATAGACTTTGAATTTTAAAGAGTCGAAATAGGATGAACGGATCATATAAACCCGAAGGAAAATATAATATATACACAATAAATAAATTATATGTAACAACACCAAAATTTGAAAAAGGTAAAAGGAAATAAATACAATAATAATTATTATTATTATTACTATTATTATTATCATAATTATATTGTACTCCAAATCCCCTTTTCAAGTATATGAATAAGTCTAAACGGCCACATCTACTCCTTCATACCAGAAACATATGTCTCTGTTGATATCAAGGATTTATAATAGTATTATATCAATCCTGGGACTATTATTACATATATATATTATGTCCCAGATCAATCAGTATTTGGAAGAATCCTTGTTCATACTCTTGAAAGTTTACGATACATTTGTTGACATGAAACAGCTGATTGCGATCACATGGTTTTGTTTACGTTGCGAATGGAAAAGTCACGTGGTAGGTTTCGTCACCACATTTCCGTAATAACACGACCTGAAGAACGAAGCAGACGAAGTGGTTGATTTCAGAGGAGTTTTTTCCCAGATAGCAACCTAGGAAAACCAGAGATATTCAGCCAGTTCACTAGATTATTACTTCAGGTATGACATACTTTTTGTCATTGTGGTGTTTTTATTGTAAGGCCTCAGAAAACACACTTCCATCGAAGCCAATATTTTTGTTTTGGTCGCCATTCTTTGTGTATTGGATCTTGTAAACAAAAGGCGCTCAAATACTGTATTCTAAAGTTTGACATTACATTAAAGTGGCAGTATTCTTTTAATGAAATTTTCAATGTATGATTGATTACAGCCTTAGTTATGATATTTGTTGTAAAAAATCAGTTACTTACCTAAATTGAAAGTGGGTCATCTGTGAAACAAAGGAAAACAAAGGACTTTGTTTATGTCTGCCACATGGTGAACCAAACAAAGACAAACATGAAAATGTGGATTGAATAATTACAGATAAATTAGGGGATTATGAAAAAAAGTTCCACAATAAATATAATATAAAGTAGTAAGTTATTATTGGATATCAGGTCTGGTTCTACAAACATACTTGTTGATGTATTAAATCTCTCATTTGTGTTGGAAAGAGGTACTGTCTCATTTGGAGACATTAAAATATAAAAATAGAGATAAACAAAGGACATTAAACCTTAACATGTCAATTTAGGCAAATGCAAGTCGAATGAAAAAGATTGTGTTGACCTGAATGTTTACTAAGGTTTATGAGGAAACAGTAACTGATTTATATTGCTTCATTCATCGAAATATGGTTCTGTCCAGTGGATGAAAGATTTGATTGTGTGACATTACAAAATGTAAATGTCAAGTAAATAAATGAATTTTAATAAGTTACATTTTTGCAGCAAGAAGGAAATAAAAATGTGAATAATCATGAATCAGAGATCTAGAAGAACAGATAAAACTATGACAAAAAAACTGAAATGAAAAACAGACTCAACTAAGTTAACATAACAAAGAAAACTAAAGATTGAGTAGCATGAACCCAGTGCCAAAAAAAAGACAGAGGTCGAGTGCTCTAAAAGGGGAAATAGTTTCCATGGACCTTTTGATTCATTTGATTGTCATATTAATACCTACACTAGCATAGTATTATACCCCTAATCCTATCTTTTTCAGAGTTGGTGGTAAAATGCATTCATCTTGTTTGTCTATTTCTAACTGAAAACTAATAGGTTACATATTATTTCACAGCTACATATATCAGATGTTTTGTCAAAGTTATTCTTGCTTGCAAAGATTTAATGTTCAGTAAGGAGATTTATAATATTGATAGTTGTGTTAGAGATTTTTAGATCTACATGTACATGTATATATATATTATAAAATGTATTCTGGCTTAAGTTAAAAAAAGACACTGCATAGTTTTTTACTCTCAGAATAATGATATCAGATTATAAATCTTTATGTAGCAATATAATTACAGACAGTTGATATTTTTTATATCTATAAGTTGAAAGATCCAGAGAGCATTCAAAAAAAGTAAAATCACAAAAATACTGAACTCCGAGGAAAATTCAAAAAGGAAAGTCCCCAATCAAATGGCAAAATCAAAAGTTCAAACACATCAAACGAATGGATAACAACTGTCATATTCCTGACTTGGTACAGGCATTTTCTTACGTAGAAAATGATGGATTGAACCTGGTTTTAAAGCTAGCTAAACCTCTCACTTGTATGACAGTCGCATCAAATTCAAGTTACACTGTAACTTGTACTCAATTTGAGTTTCATGTTAATTCATCATTATTTACATGTATATGGGCTCACTGTGTGCTACTATAGATAGGTATATATTTGAACATGTATACCAGGTGTTAATACATTGAAATATATAGATATATATTTGTACATATAAATTGATGATGATTGATATGGGTATTGCTGATAGGTATATCTGTTCCTGGTGTATATTATATATGTTGTATACATCTATTACAAATTGTACTTGTAGTTCAGTGTGGAAGATAGCTTTGGATATTTATAGACATTAGATTTAATAAAATACATTAAGCATATTTAGAAGAATGTTGTTATGAGAGGCAGTTTCAGGAAGATTTCCTATTGACCCCCTTCTAAGAACAATCAGCAATTGCATATATTCCATCCTGTGCATTTTGAGAATAAAATATTAAAAATGTAATGAATAAACTATACTCAGCAACACAAGAAATGCACCACATGGATTGAGGTCCAAGTTTTTTGTCATTTGAGTGTTTTAACTTTATTTGTGTGTGAAATTATAAAATCCCTTGTTTTTTTTTTGTTTAAAGAACTAAAGTGACAGTGGCTACAATGTATATATCACTTCCACCAGTTATTTAAGGTTTTTAATTTATTTTCTTGAAGTTTTACATTTTTAGACGCTGGAACATAGAATAAATTGCTTTCCAAGATCACTATACATGCTATACCATGTATACAGATACATATGAACTTGCTATCATTAACTAAAAATCACTGATTCTTCTTTTTTTACTAATATATCATTGTTTTTATCTGGATGCCTGATGCATGATGTGATGTGCCACCAAGAAATTTCATTGTGTAACAGAAAGACAAATCCTCATATTTACATGGAAAATCAAAGGTCCATACAACATCCTGGTTCCAAAAAATCCCTCCTATGTCATGTATGTGTAAAGTAATCTAAGCTAATGCTTGAAACATTTCAGAAGAGACTGTCAGTGAAAAAGAGGACATAAGTCATAGGTGTTGTTTTCTATTGATTATAGACAATAAGATTGCAAAATCTTTCATCACTGAAAAATTCATACTTTGTTTTGAGATCTTACATTTAGGTTGGCAGTTTTCATGTACAATGTATGTAGATTTACCGAGTAAAAAGATCACATATATATATTGTTCCTACATGTTACTTTCTAACTTAAGTCCAAACTTGTAGTTGAAGGACTTTAAATAAGTGTAGATGGTTGTGAGCCTTGTAAGGACCATAATTGAGGCTTCGCACAGAGATGTTGAAATATGCTAGTCTTTCATTTCCTAGGTCCTGTAAACTTTTTTAACAATAACACCTTAACCTGTGACTATTTCTTGTGTCAGTTTAACTAAATTTGTAACATTTTAAGGAAGATAGAAAAGAGATCTTGTCAGGTTTTATTAGAAGTTAGAAAAGAGATCTTGTCAGGTTTTATTAGAAGTTAGAAAAGAGATCTTGTTAGGTTTTATTAGAAGTTAGAAAAGAGATCTTGTCAGGTTTTATTAGAAGTTAGACATTGTTAGAAAAGAGATCTAATGTCAGGTTTTATTAGAAGTTAGAACTGCTGTCCCGTTGACATATATGAACTCGCATCTCCTTCTATTTTTAGGCAGTTAAGCTGCCTTATGCGAGCACCCTAGATTTGTGTTCTACCCAATAAATGCTGAAATACGTGCCATTGTTATTATCTAGCTGGATATAATGTTATTTATAACTAATTGAATAGTTTTTTCATACTTTTAATTCTGGATTACAAAAATATGACCAGAAAAAACCTTAAATGATCGTCGAACCACCCAAAAGTTTTGAAGTTGCACATAGGAAGTAGAGCACATTAGGAATCCTTATGTAGTTTATTATCCCCTGTGCTTTTGGCTAAGATGTCAAAGAACAATTGTATGAAATATTTAATCGCCGAAAATCTTTAAAGACAAGTAGTTTAGATTTCCCAAATGGCAAAAGTCGTAGGAATATTGTTTGTCGTCAATACGTGGTACAACTACGTCAGTAGTCTATTAATAAGTTCAACTGTTCATGCTGTTGGCGGCAATTTCAAATTAGAAGACGAAATTTTCGTATCTTTTCAATTTGGAGGCAGGGGTTCAAATTAGCGGTGGTCCGAGGTCCGCGACCTTCCACTTTTGCAATCGGACTCTCGACTTGGTTACTAGCTGCGGAACCGTAGCTCTTAGGTCCTTATGTTATTTTTTGACTATTTGCGGACCATAGAGTCTATGGTCCGCAAATAGTCAAAAAATAACATAAGGACCTAAGAGCTACGGTTCCGCAGCTACTTGGTTACTAGCTACGCCCGACGGACCTTTCACTTGAAAGAAAATTAAAAATAACTTTGCAAACCTTTTAACCAAAGTCTCTAAATAAACGATCTCAAAACTTATTTTGATCTTTATTATTCATGACAGCGATGTTCATTTTGTTCAACCGCTAGCTGTATACAGATAATCGCCGACAAGTAATGTGTAAATTCGAGTAAAATCGTATCTGACTGACAAAAACAACATTGAAAAACAATGGATGCCGTGTAGACAATTACAATATCGGGTCCGATTCCGGAAGCGGATAAGGGTAATTCCGGGTTTTGAAGATCAACTACAAAAAAAAAATTTCAGGCAGGTGACAAAATACATCTATGCATGGTAAATGAATATAAACACTAGAAATGGAAACCAAAAGATATATGTAAAAGAAAGAAAAAGCAAAAAATATTTGATACAGAAACTCAAAATTACTTTTTGACAAATTTTAATGTCAAAATCCAATACAATGTGACAGCTGGGAACAGTATATCTAACAATATATATGTTCCTGGTGACAGTATAAATCTTCTTTATCAGTGATAAATGTTGATAATGCATGTAAGATGCTTTTAAAGTGTAAACATATTACTGCAATTTTTTTCTCAATTTTGAAGGGTCAGTTAAAATAGCTGGAAGTTTCTTACTTTGTTTCCGCAAATAGTGCAACTATATCATATGATACCTGAATGTAAGCAAATCATATGATATATAGGTGGAATCCTTTGGGTCACTCTACCCCCTCCTGTTTGATAACTTTGAAACGGATGAGATCCCCACCCCTAAACCATATATATTCATGTATGGGACTATATAACTAATCAAATGAAATATAGGGGGAAGTCCCTAGGGTTACCCCACCCCTCCTGTTTGAGAACTTGGAAACAGTCGAGATCCCCACCCCTAAACCATATATATTCATGTATGGGACAATATAACTAATCAAATGAAATACAGGGGAGTCCCTGGGGTCACCCCAACCCTCCTGTTTGGGAACTTTGAAATGGTCGAGATCCCCACCCCTAAACCAAATATAT